AAGACAGTAAAATTAGCAAAGAAGGTGTCTAAGATTTGATAAATTAACAAGTTTAATTAGATCTAATTTGAGATTTGTTCCTATGGTACTGGAGCAATTCCTCATAGGGCATTTCAGAGTTCTCTTGGCTGGTCAGTGCCCCGGTCTGAGCACCTGCCTTGGCTCAGTCGTGCCCACACTAGCGCGGCACTTACTTATGACACTTCGTTACTTTGTTACTCATTGCACTGTGAGCCGCACAAATATTGATCACCTTAGTGCTAGTTTGCAATCACACCTTCAATTTAAGCAGTACATCGGTGGGGAGTGGCTACACCCTAATGGGGCAGAAGTAGGGTTATGTGGATCAAGAGATAATCCTGCCTTAGAGTGGTGTAACTTTGAGCTGCATAATAAGTGCCCTAAGCCACTTGAAAGGTGTTAACGTGTGGACAATCCAGGGGTTAAGAGCTCCAGGAGCCACCCAAAATTAATGTGTAACAAGGACTTCTGGGGTATAGCCCATCATTCTCTATGTTTCAATAAAATGAGCTTCTTTTCTAGTAGACCGTGGGAAGAATTGTTTGTCTTTCTGGATATACAGTGTGTGATGGCATTGGAAGATTATCAATATGTGAACGGTTCAGGATGCCTCTCAAGGCAAATTATCTGGGCTGACACCCAGGTTGTAAACAGCATTTGTACTTTAGCCGATATTCCTGGCCAAGCCAGCTAGCCCACATGTGAAGTACCCCACATTCAGGCCAGATTGCTCTGTATGGGGACAGGAGCAGGGTCAAGGAGGTCATCCTAGCAACAGCCGGAGTTTACTTTACAGTGAACAGAAGCCCTTCGAGATCTAGACAGGCCTTTCAGACCTTGAGTCCAGTCCAGTCATGTAGGATTAAGCAGGCTCCATACATGTGCCACTACTTATTAGGCAACACAGAGCTAACTGCTGAAGGCCAACAGCAAATTACCATATTTACATGCACACCGCTCGCAGCCTTTCCCCCAGAACCAGCCTTCCAAGTTTGGGGTGCATGTCTTCCGCAGGAAAGCTGATATTTCTGCCTAGAAGGGCAGCCATGGCATTTCTATTCAGGCAGAGGTAAGGTAATTTCATGGGTCGTTAGAATCTACTTGATTTCTACTAATTGCTCTTTACTCAACATGTGTTAACAACACCTCTCCTTTATAATGGTCATGATGTTCCATTAATCAAAGTAGCCTTTCTTCATTTTGGCTTCCCCAAAACAAGGTGCAGGTCTTATTTGGGGTGCTTCCATGTGATAAAATACAGTACTTCCTCTCTCACAGAGCATGGAGGAAGCAAAAGTACTGCACCCTGGGAGGAGTATCTATGCTTCGTGGGATTATACCTGGGAAAGGGACAGCCAATGCAGCTGCCTTTGATTTAGGGCTGAGTTTAAAGTCACAATTGAGCCTGTAATCTGGAAAGGAGAAGAACAAGTGAGAGTTTTTCTCCAGGTATATGAGATCATGAAGGATCTGTTAAAAATTTAACCACTCTGTAAAACAGAAGGACCTTGATTCTGTTCCTGGCTCTGCCCTTAGTCTTTCGGGTGACCTTGGGCAAGTTACTTTACCACTCAGTGCCTCAGTTTCCCCTTCTGTAAAGTGGAAATGAGAATTCTGACCTCCTTTGTAAAACACTTGGGGAGTTACTGATGAAAAGTGCTGTCGAACAGGTATGTGTTACTGCTTTCCTTTCTGCTTCATTACCTCTGGCAGGGAGGGGTTCACCTCCACTCAGGATTAAAACCCAGCAACCTTGTAATAAATAAAAGAAAATATTTATTTCTGCAGTGTGTAATTAAACCTGTGGCACCTACTGGCTCAGGAAATCCAGCTGAGTTCAAGTAGGTGTGCTTTAAAAAGACGGGGTAGTTTTTGCTGTGTGGCAACTAAGGTAAAGAGAGAAGGCTAAAATCAGCACTTATGCCGGTTGGCTGTGGGGAAGCCAGGAAGAAACCCTTGGAGCACTAAAGCCCTGGAAGGAGGCCTAACGCTTTGTACATTACTCTCAAGTGACCCTGCCAGAGGTCAGATGTAGAAATCAGAGGCCGTTTGTAGATGACACTTTAAAGAGAATTTAAAGCGGGTTAAATGCCTTTTGCACCACTTTAATGGCATTGCTGTTTGCACATTCAGTGGCATAGTGCATATTAATTCCAGCTGCTGTAGCCTGTTCGGCAGTGTAATGCACCTTAAATGACTTTAGGATGCAGCAAATGACTTAGGGGCGCTGCAAAGTAAAACACGTCTGAGGAGTTTTAGTTTCCTACCCTACAGCCGCAGAGGAAAGCACCCGGCTGTGTGTGGCTCAGGAGCTGCGCAGGCAGACCATGCAGGCAGCCCAGCAGCACCCTGGGAAGGCAGGCTCCATGGAAGGGGGAAAAAACATGGCAAGCCTGATCTTTATTTTTTCTCTCCCCCCGGAGCCTGCCTGCCTTCCTGAGCTGCGCAGGGGCCCGGTGCTTCCCTCCGTGGCTGCTGTGACCCCTGGGACTGCCCAAGCCACTGTGGGGGGTGGGGGGATGCCACCCCAAAGGGAAGCACCAACCCGTTCCCCCGGGCAGCTCAGGGACCACTCTGCCTGACAGCAGCAAACTCTCCCCTCCCCGCCGCTGGAGAGACAGGTAAGTATCAGGCTCTGACACAGATGTATGCAAGGTTTACTTCACCCTAACCTGAAGTAGTGTTTTTAAAAAAACACCACTTTAATTTCGGGAGAATTAAACCCCCGTGTCATCCACAAGCGGCCAGAGACAGCCTTGCCTACGTTTCTCTGACACATAAGACAGGCCCTTTCAGAAGGAGCATGGAGAATGAACCAAGTGGAACTTGTCCATCCCTCGGATAAAAGGTGCACACCGCAAAGAGTGACTCCACAAACTTGCAAGATACAGAATTGGGCCCTGGACCGTGTTACATTTAAGCTGATAGTGAGATAGCCAAGAGACATCATCAGCAATGTAGGCAGCACAATGGTTTCAATTCTGGCCAGAGCCCAGAAGAGTAGGGATACACTAAAAAATAAAGCAACAGGCAAAAACACCTGACACCATGAGAGCCACCTTGCACAGAGTATATCTGGCGGGGATTAAAATAATAGTCAAGCATGGCAGAACTTCAGGAATCGTTTTGTTTAGCATCAATTCCACAAGCAAGGCAATGGGGTTTGCTTCCAATTCTGCTTTTGGGTTGGTTTGGGGTTTGTTAGAATTGCCATCAAAAATATTTCCACCACTACTTTTCTAATCCCTGATTGATGCAGGTGTTAATTTGTTTCAGGTTACCCAGAATTCTTCTTTCTTTTATTTAATGTAAAAGATAAGTGCGACGATTCTTTAGGAAACGGTGTATCAGGTTTGAGTGGTGCATTCTGGTTCCACGGGACTGCAAATAAACCCAAATATCTAGCCCTGCCAGCACTTAAAATAATGATCTTCTTATTTGTATTCCTCTTTTCCAGGATGTTTAAACGCCTCAAAGATCCACTTATGAGGCTGAAATAATTTGAGATGTAATTCTTTCATGGTATTTCCATTATCCAGGAACTAAAATACCATAAGGAGACAGATGTATTATTTCAGCTCCATACATGGCCCCTTGAAGCACTGAAACAAATATAAATTGAGGTATCAGTACGTGCCTTTTGCTTGCAACCCTGCAAAAACACTGGTATTTTTTTTTCTTTTTTCTCTCAAATCCCAAGTGTGCTTGTGAATTATTTGGGGCCTCTGGATACAACATATCATATTGTTTATATGTCCCAGCATCCCTGCTCTCCCTTCATATGCATTTGCAACCTGCAGAGAGGTAATCATGATAAATGTCACTTTATGGCCTGCTTGCAAGTACAAAATCAATAGGAGAATTAAAGGAGGTAATGTGTCAAACTTGGTATTCAGGGACCCAGAATGAGTCACTTGACTGTCTCTTCATATGATATTATAGCCACGAAACAACCAAAGCCTGGTGGAAGAAAGGGGCAGGCTGAATTGCTGGGGTTTATTCCCAGAATGGCTGTAATATGTTCAGAGAATGCCACGTCACCCATTGATAAGCTATTCCTGTCATCCCCAGAAACACTGGCGGACCTTCTTCTACCTGAGCTTTGAACTTCTCAAGCATTATGTCCCATTACCATCTCACTATGTCTTAGCTGGAGTTTTGTGGTCTCTGAAGTAGGTTTGGGCCAAGAAAAGAGGTTTTGAATCAGGCTCTGGGCCTCAAACTCAGATCTTTTTGCTCTGCTCTGAGTTCTGTAAGCCTTTGGAAAGCCGTACATGCACATCTGATAAGAACCGACATGCCCCAGATCATTAAGATGCTGGACCAGCTTCATGAAAGAAGGCGTCTGAATGCCCCAGAAACCATGCTGAACATCACTTCCCACTGAATGCATTTGCTTCAGTCAAAAGGCCCGATTTGAACATAGCCTATCAACTTAACAGCAGCTCTTGCTCACAGGCTGCTGGCATTTCCCTTATGGTGACTGGAAGGGGCCATAGTAGCAGAAAATTAAAACAAGCAACTATTCACTGAATCTCCCCATTCAAAGGCAAGACAGTCCTTTAATAATAGAAAATATTGGCTAGCAAAATGATACCACACTTCATCTTAACCAACAGGCCAGTGCACTTGCACCCTAGCAAGCTATAAAAGCTTTGCATAACTATATGACATCTCATTAGTTTTCTCTGTTAATTTTTCCCAGTAAGTGTAACAGTGAAGAGCAGTGTCTTAGCTCTGTTACTCCATGTTGTGCTCAGGCCAGTCCTTTAAACCAAAATCTCTATTATGTGTACTTTTCCTGATGTCCCACAACCTCTGTGATCAACGATTTACTGAAAAATTACAGCTACTTGCTTTCCTTTAATCATATTTAGTCTTGTTGCTCAAAAAATGGTTGAAGAACATGAATCGTGATTATAGTACCTGAACTGCTTAGTAATGCTTTTCATCTTCCCTCTATTTCAGTTGTATGCAAAGCACACATGCTTTACTAAACCTGTGCAGGGGAGGATTCACACAAGGTATAACTGTCAGGGTTCGCACCCTGGGACAGCAGAGAATAGCTGATGCTATGAATGGCAGGTGCCAGTACAGCTAGCAACTACGGGGTTACCGAGACAAATCCCAGATGTACGGACCCTCTCGTGCCCCCCTCCTGCACCTGCCACTGATTGCCGTCCTAAGCAACTTAAAATGCTTAATTTGGAAGTGAAGAAAAGTAACTTCAGGGAAATGAGACGGTCTCTATGCAGGGTGGCCCTAATCTGTTGTGTGCTGGCTATGCTGATACTTCTCCCACTGTGGCAGTGGTATCTCTAATTGGGAGGAGTGGGGGGAGAGGCAGTTAACAAAGGGATTCCTGCCCCTGCTTCGCCAGAGCCTTGAGCCCCATTGTTCCCATTCTGGTGCCCCTATGCCACTGGATTCACAGGACACACCTAGGGTCATTAGCTACTGCATGTCACCTCAAGCCACCCATTTCCTCTGATACCTGGCTGTCTGCAACAGAAGCCCAAAAACACATGCACATGGCCACTCCATTCTCTTTGGCATATCCATTTGGCCTGAAGCAGCTGCAAACTTTTCCCCAAATAATTTATTTTTAATATTCCTTCCCCAAATAGACAATGTGTATTGGGCATGAGCTGAAACCAGCCTCAGATGGATGCTCTGACTTTGGGAAGCGTCATTGTTGGTGCTATAATTTTTTTTTAAAAGAGCCGCTCTAATTAAAGTGCCAGAAGCATCTCGTGTATCAGCGTCCCCATGGTTAAAAATGGTGGCAGAGTCACTTTAACTAAAGCTCATTCGATGAGCTTTAGTTAAAGCACCCCCACCGCCATTTTTAAGTGCAGGTACACTGATACACGAGACGCTGGAGTCTGCTGGAGCACAGTAATTATCACTCTGCCAGACTTGATTAATCAAATCTGCTCCACACTGGAATTACAGCGCATCGGAGCAGCCTCGCTGCTCATGTATAGGCGCCCACAGAGATTAAATAGATGCCATATTTAGCTGCATATTATATGCACCTTTCCACCAAAAATAAACACTTCAAAACTGGAGTGCATGTCTTTAGTAGGGAAGCTGATTTTTTTTTCTTGGCTGGAAGAGAAGCCAAGGGGAATAGAATAGGAGCTAGGATGCCACATTTCCTGGACAGTCTATGGTTCCAGTAGGACTTATTCTAGGTCACACAATTGGCCTTGACTCTGAAATTTTTTTTTTCCCCCTACGTTTTGCTTTCTGAAAGCAAAGTGTGCATCTTATTTGGGGATATTGGTAAATGTGGTACATTGGCTAATGCTCTGTGTTTCCTAGTCATAACGGATGGCTAATTTCAAACAGCTCTCCTTCACCTCTTATGGTTCTCCACTAATTATTCTGATAGCATCCCTAACATGACAACTTTTCTGTGCTTTGTGTCTGTAGTGCACAAGCTGCAAGTTGGGGCTGAGAGTCCCCTCTCTAAAAGTTGTTTTTTTCCCATCTGAGCTCTGCTAGTATTTTCAGCTATAGGTACCCACCTCTCACCCATGCTTTTCTGAAGCCCAGGGTCCTTACTTTTCTGCTCTCCATCCTTCCTTTCCTCAGGATCCTGAACTCAATCATCTCATGGTTGCTGGTGTCCAAATTGCCATCCACTACTACATTCCCCACCAATTCTTCCCTGTTTTTGAGCAGCAGGTCAAGAAGAGCATGGTCCCTAGTTGGCTGCTCCAGCACTTGCACTAGGAAGTTGTTCCCAACACTCCCCAAAAACTTCCTGGATTGCCTATGCATTGCTGTATTGTCCTCCCAGAAGGTGTCAGGGTGTCTCCAGCTTCATAGTGGAGCTCTGAGCAATCATATGGCTCTTTTACATAAAGTGCAAGTCCTCCTCCTCCTCTTCTCCCCTGCCTGTCCTTCCTGAACAGTTTGCACCCATCCATGATGGTACTACAGTCCTGTGAGCTATCCCTTTGTGTTTCATCAAGAAGCAAGGATTTCTTTGGATGATACCTTATGTTGGCCCAACTGTATAGTCGGGATAGAGTTAGACAAGCTTTTGATGCAAAACATTTTTCTTCTGGTCCCTTCAGGTGGTCTGATAAAAGATGTCACCCAAAGGAATCGTTGCCTCTCACAATTCCTGGACTATCACAGCTCAACATCATTCAAACACCACCACTGTATTTCATCAGCATTATCTATGTGATGGCAAGACCATCATGCTCCAGTAACTTGCTCCTAGTCATTTTTATCACACCCCTTTCTACTTGCTAAAGTCTCATCTTTGGAAATTTTTGAGCTCTTTGATATGGTACGGCTCACAACCCTGCATCCTAGCAATGTATAACAGAAAGGAAAACACAAGGATCATCACAAACTCACTTTTGGCTTTTAATTTAAACCATATAACATATAGCGATATACCTGAGTTGATTTACTGGTTTACAAAAATTGCTATTATCTATTTCTACTCTCTGGGTGCATGTACATGTGCATTTAAGCACAACTAAATTTAATGTGCATTAAGCAATTTTTGGTAGGTGTCTACATGTGCAGGGACTTGGCACTAAAGTTAGTGCCACGTCCCTGCAGCCCTGCCATGTGCCCCTAGTGGCTGGGCAGACCCTGCACTAAAGTTAGTGCCAGGTCATGTCTACATGTGCATTAATGCACTTTAACTAATCGTGCCTAAATTCGATCCCTGCAAATGCATTTGCAGGGATCGAATTTAGGTGCAATTAGCCTAATTTTGCCATTTTTAATGTGCATTAAGGCCACGTACATGTAGATGTGCACCCATAATGCACATTAAATTAGGCTAATGCGCATTAACGCATCTCATGTAGACACTTCCTCTGTGAAGACCTACGGAACTAATGGGAATTAATGCATCAGTGGGCATGGGCAATATAGAATTGGCTAGGATTTTTTGTTAAATTATTCACAAATTTGTCAATTAACATCTCTGTCCCTCCAAAAGTTTCCAAATTGTAAAGACAGGCTGAAGAACCTCTCAGTCTGGCTGTCCTGTGCCTCCAGTCATCCAGCAATAGGCAAGTTTGACATTCCCTGATATTTTCAAAGTAAAGTAGGAGATTTTTAAAAGTCTAGGTATTTTTAGACATTAGTGACAAATGAAAAGCATAATATTTTTCCCATTAGCATGTCATCTCTAAAGGCATGTTGCGAGTGTAGTAATGGAACAGTTCTTTAAAATGCCTGGAGTGATGGCAACATAAAAATGTGGCTGTTGACCTGTTCCAAGTAAGGGCAGAAAGTATACTCATCTCAGTCTCTTGCAGGCTCCCTAGGAAATTGTGTCCAAAGCTGCAAGCAGACCTGTAAATGCGCTGGATATAGAGACTGAGTGATCAGAGAGCAACAGCAAAACACACGGCTAAAGAAATGGAATGGCTTTCAGGAAGAAAAATCAGATTCACGTTCATTTGACCAATGGCTGTTGGTTAAGTCAGTGAAGCAAACGAGCTGAATTGGTTTCCAGCGTGGTCAGGGGATGATCTCATCTCCACCACTTTGTGGGCTGTGCCCCTGGAAAATTAAACTGGCCAAGCTTACAAAAGGATTCATCAAGGTTAGATACGTAGAACTGGGTCACTTTGAAAACTGGACCCAGTGATCTACCCACACGGCTGTAAGCTTCAAAGACATCCCGCTTGCTTGACCATGCAAACAACTCATGGCTATTTCTGCAGCTGAGCTACAGCCTGTGCTTCTTTGCTCACACACTCTCACACTCACTCTGTCGCGCTCTTTCACACTCGCACTCTGCAGAATCAAATTGGCTAGGGCATTCATACCACAGTGATTCGCTGCAACTATTCCCATGACTTGGTATTAGCTGAATCCCATCACATTGGGAAATGTGGCCTACAAGAAAACACGCTGGATGATCAGACCAGGCAGATTACTGTAGCTAGTAGAACATTAACATTTACATTTGCTGCCTTTTCTGGTCTGAGCTGCCCAGTTTCTGTGAGCATCTCTAGGGACATTGCTTCCAAAGACCTCCATAGGTTTGCTCATCCAATGAAGAGTTTACAGGACAGTCTTTCTTGTCTCAGTTTGCCTTATTTCATAAAGGGGCAAAAGCCCAGTGCAAGTCTTCTGTTCTGCAAACCCATTCACCCATTCCTGTTTGGACTCCAGACTCTGATCCTATACATGATGGCAGATGCCTTGGATCAATCCTGAGTTTGAAGCTTTTAGAAAAGTGACATTAATCTTCATTTTAAAATGACAAGGAAGTGAAACTCCTGTAGCAAGTTTAGCAAAGCTATGCTACCTATTACATTTTGGTTTAATTGACTTTGGTTTCTTCTTTGCCATTTCAGTCCATGATGAAGGAAGTATGTTCCTCCTGCCTTCAGCCTGTCTATTTTATGGAGCGAGTGGTTGTTGATCAGGCCCTTCTGCACAGCTCATGTTTCACCTGCAAGGTCTGCGGGAAACAGCTCAGGTAAGTAGTAGGACCCGGTGCCACTTTCTCTTGAGACAACTCAGAGTGGCTTACAGCATAAATGGTCCTCCTTTAGCAGTGCCAACAAGGAACATCTCTGCAGTGGGCGTAAACAGAAGAACAATGTCTCAGACATGATTGCTCTCCCCATCACTAGGGCTTGAAGCCTTCCAATTGTGAATATGCGGTGCTAGGACTCTCTGAACCAAGACTCATGGGCTGGGGCAGAAGAAGCTGAGGCAGGAAGAAGCTGCATCCCTCCCAGACCCCACTCCACATCCTAAAGGAAACCTGCATGGGATTTAGCACATTGTTGATTAATTTGAGACACTGTTCAGTATAGCCCTATAGTGAAGCAACCACAGTAAGCTTCTTGTTCCTCTAGTGGAGGCATTTTATGAGTCAGTCTACCCACTATTAGTATCTTCTTCTGTACTTGTCTCTAATTAGATGCAGTATAGACAGGGAATGGGGCACAGAAAGGCTGGAAGCCAGGAGTGAGTTCATAGCCTGGAGCACCTGGGTAAACCCTGAGCACAGTCCTGCAGAGGGAGGTGGCGTAAGAGACAGCTTCACCTCAGCTCCTGATGCTCAGCAGAGCTTCTGGGGTCAGGCTAAAGATGCACTGGGGTTGAGCTAAAGACTTATCAACATGGATAATTGGTCTGGAGGGGTTGGAAGGAGGCCCAGAGGGACAACACTAAGTAGCGGTGTAGACATACACAGACTTTCCTCGAGACTGTCTCCCCTTAGGATGGTCCAAAAATTCATTGTAAAGGAGCTCTTTTATTACTGACTTGAATATACTTCTGAGATGGAAACTGGCAACCAACCAGCACACAATGCACTATAAAGTGAGAGGACATGTTGACCTGGAACATCAAGGACAAAGTCCTGGGACCCTTAACAAAAGTAACAGGACATCCATTTCTAAATGTCTCTTGCACACACCCCGCAGGTTGCACGAGGTTCGGTTTATTGATTTAGAGACCTCATTATTAAGGACAATAGAGACCATTGTGATGGTGTGGCCTGACCTCATGAATGACTGGTCATAAGATTTTACCCAGCAATTTGTTCATCAAGCCCATGACCTGTGGTTGAGCTAGAGGTTATCTTTTAGAAAGGCTCAGCTGAGTGACTTCAAGCAAGGAAGACTCCACCTATGTACCTTGTTAAACAGCGTGCAGTTTACTGTGCATAAGAGACTTAGAAATGAATGCTTTGTGGAATCACTAGGGGTTTGAACCAGGGTGCCTAGGTATTTCATTAGCCACAAAGGTAGCCCCATCAGCTCTGAGCAAGACTCGCTGAGAGTTTGCTCTGAGATTGTCCTCATTCCCAAAGGAAAATGTGTGTCAATCAAATGCAACTCCCTAACAATACAGTGAAGATGCCCAGGGCAGATTGTCCTTTACTGCCAGGGATCACATATGTTGTTCCAGATTCTTGCACCCCTTGCTGTTCTTCCTACTCAGCGTTACTCAGAAGTGTTGATATTCCTTGTTATGATGTTAGGCCACATTCAGCCCAACCCAAGATGTCTGGAGAAGATAATACAAAGAGCAGTTTTTCCTGCCTGCAACCTTTGCAGATGCCAAACACAGTCTTGGCAAAGACAGGAGACATCTAACCACTTCGGGGCCCTTAGACTCCAAATGGCATCGTACTCTTGACCACATCTTCATCTTAGTTGGTGCTGGTGCAAGATACTTTACAGACTCCGGATTAATTTGCACAAGGAGGAATGAACAGTTTGTTGGCAGTCTCCTTCCCTCCATAAATCCACGCTTGCCGCTTAATGACACAGTGCATGCCAAAGGCAAACTGCATGTATTGATCTTTGGGGGTGTTTTGAAGATCAAGGGGAAAGCATCATCCATAGTAGGGATGATCCTGCAATATCCAAATATGAGAAGGGAGAGAGACCCTAAATGTATGCGCCCAGGGAAGGCAACAGAATCGCTCCTATGCTTTAGTCAAGTCACTTGGTGTCGCTCGCAGTTGCAGTTTGGTTGTCCCCTATGTGAAATGAAATTCTGGACCAGGCGTCCCGTGTTCCCCTTCTCCCCTACAGGCCAGTCTCCATGATCAGATGACATCTCCCCATGCTATCTCTTCATTGTGAAGGGAGTTGGTCACAACATGGGAGTCCCTGGAAGTAATGAATAGATCAGTGGTTTTCAACCTTTTAAGACTCAAGGCACCCCTTGGAAAATGTCAGCTCTTAGTTTTCACTTGTTTTTTGACTATGGAGAAATAACAGAACAATTCTTCTGTTGCAAAGAACTCAGAAAGGCCGCAGTGGGTCAGAATGGTTTTGATATCATGGAGTCCTATTGGAAATCTTCATGGTTATCTTGCGAATCATGTGTAAATGTTTGCACATCTAACTGTGCTATTATTGTATGGCACCCTATGGTAACTTTAAAACAGGGGTGGGCGAAATGCAGCCTGTGGGCCAAATGCAGCCAGCCAGACCATTCTATCCGGCCCGCGGGACCCTTAAAAAAATTAGAAAATTAATATTTATCTGCCCCTGGCTGCCTGTCATGCATCCCTTGATGGCTTGCCAAAACTCAGTAAGTGGCCCTCAACCCGAAATAATGGCTTGCCCCTGCTTTAAAAGGATCCCACAGCATCCTGGTGTACTGCAGCACGTTGGTTGAAAATCACTGGCATAAAGGGAGATGGTGTCTGAGAGCAGAGCCTGGCCCAGGAGGAGAATGGGGCCAAGAGAAAACTGAACTACAGCTCCCATGAGACACTTCTGTGGGTAATGGGACTGATTTATTTTATTTTTTTACATGTTTACTGATAATTAAAAAAAAAAAAAATCAAACCTTTCTAAAGTCAACAGATGTTTTTCTGGAAGTTTTGTTTAATTGAAAATCAAAATTTTCCATCCAAAACAATGTTGATGGGGATTTTTCCATCCATGCTAATAATAGGCCTTTTCATGCCAAAGAGTATTTAACTGCTCTGCTTGATGTGTGTTTTGCAGCCTGCATAATTACACTGCCCTCCACGGTGCGCTCTACTGCAAAGGCCATTGCAAGCTGCTTGCCAAAGCTAGAGGAGGAAATGAGAAGGAAAGATTCGTTTACGGACATAAACACCAGCCACGGCAGGAAATAGTAATAGCCGGTCGAAGGTCAGAGCCCCAGAGAAGATATAATAGAGCTGGAGAAGAGACAGTGGAGAGATCATTTGAGTCCCATTCAGAGCTCAGCTTGGAGCCAGATGGCCAAATGAAAGGACCCAAGAATGAATTTGCCTCCTTGAGACACCAGCTCGAAACTAGCTGGCCACCCTTGGGAAAAGCAGACAGAAGCGTCCACAAACCTAGGAAGAGCGAATGGCTCTGGGAAAAGACTGCATTGAACTGGCGAAGCCCGGAGGCACCAGAGGGAAAATCCATTGCAGATACAGCAGTGAGAAAGCAACCAAACCAGCTACCTAGCATCGCCGTTTCGGAGAGGGAAGAGCACGGGCCCCCCTGGAGCAAAGCGGGAAACCTGAGGAGTGGTAACAAGAAGATGGGGTGTGTGGACGGAAATGTGCCCAGACATCTCGCAGGGAAGGGAGGGAGCAGAGTATCAGAGAAGGTGGCTGTCTTCCAGCAGGGCAAAGCCAAACCAAAGGACAGGAGTGCTCCCGCTGTTTCGCCTTCAGCACTGCAACCTGTGAAACCACCAGTTCGCGGCTCATCCGTCTCCCGGTCCAAGGCGCTGGGAGCCACTAAGGGCGCCAGCTGGGCCTCTGCAATACCTCTCGAGGCTGGTGCTCTCTCTACAGCAGAGCTTGCTCCTACAGGTAACAAGCTTCGTGTCACAGGGTCCAGCGAGGGGGTCTTTAACGCAGGACTTGCAACTCTGAGCAGTCGGGGCACCAGACCGCTTCCCCGAGCGACAGGGAATTTGCCAGAGCAGCCACCATCCACCGTATCTACCCCACAGGACAGGCAGCACCCCCAAGAAGGGAGCGGCAGTAAGCTGGCTGCTCATGTAGCAGGAGAGGCTGAAGCAGGCAGCATCAAAACCATGCCACCATGCGGAGGTACCCACCACCCAAGCAGAGCCAAGGGCTTTCTTTCCTCCCGTTTTGGAGCCCAGACGTACGTAGCTGAGCATGATGCTGTCCAAAGTAACGAAGCTTCATGCCTCTCCGAGGAACCAGCAACACCTCACACAGAGGTCAGTTCACTCGAGCCTGAAATTTCGGTTCAGTTGTACCAGGCAGCTGAGCAGGTCAATGAGGATTCAGAGACGGACAACCAAGAGCTCCCTGGAGCGCTTATGCCAAGACCTTCCGAGACAAACTTGCAAGGATCTAGGGAAAACGTGTTGGCTGGAATTAAAAGCAGCGAGCCAGAGGTTGAGAACAAAATGCAGCCGGAGAGCACATCAGAGTCCTACAAGATCCTGAAATATAGTCCTGGGCATAGATCTCAGGAAAGGAAACCAGAAGAAAGAGCCATTTCTCCATCTGGACAGGCACAGATTACAGGGGATGAGACTGCACCCTGCCCACAAGCGGCAGAATCTCAATACACGTGCGGCCCGCTAACAGACAGCCTGCAAGGGGATGCTTTGCCAGGTCATATTGCATTGTCTGCTAAGGACACTTCAGAGCCAGTGGACACACATCCAAAAGCAGTCAGTGCAACGGAGGACTCGCATGACAAGACAACTGGAAAAGAAGAAACAAAGCTCAAGTTACGGGGTCCAGATGACATGCGAGGGGGCATCCTTCTTGTTTCTGAGCCACCCAGCAAGATGCTTGAACCTTTGACATCGAAGGAATCATCAGAGAAACCTGAATATCATTTAGCTGGAAATGGTATTGTGGGTATGAAACCTCAGTATGAAGGCAAGTCACGCTTACCTGCTAGTGCTCCCCAAACCAAAGACACCGGAAATGGAGAGCCTGGGAAAGAGACACCAGCAAAAGCTTCCAGTCTAGGGAAAAATCACTTTGCTAGGCTTTTTGCTTCTGAAAATAAAAGTAGCACCCCAAGGAAAGAGCTAAAAGGAAGAAAGAAACCCACAAAGCCCCAGTCTGCCTTGGCCACATTATTTGGCTATTGCTCAGATAAAGAACGGAATCAAAAGGGAATTCTCACCCCAAAACCCTCACCAAAGCCTTCAGAGGAAAAAAATGATGGAGAATCACGGTCACAGATCACCGACTCAGCCTCATCAAGGCAAAAGGTCTCCAAGGATGAGGCTGTAGCTCCCATTGGAAGAGCAGTGGCAATTTCCAAAAATACAAAGCAAAATTCAGGGGCCCATGTGAGATCTGGGCAAAGAGAGAGTCCCCCACATTTAAGCAGCACTGAGGTCTTAGAGTCCCAGGTGCTCTTGTCGATGCCTGGTGGAAGCAGTCCAGCCAGCACTGGAAATGTTGATGAGGTCCCTGATCTTGGAGTTGAAAGCCAACCTGATTTCAACGCGCAGTCTCTACAACAGCATGGTGATAGCTATCTGCCTGCAGTTCGGTTGGCAGCATCTCAGAAAGGAGCTCCAGAAACCTTGGAGGGCAGAGCTAGCCTTTTACAGTCTCCTCTGGCACCAATTGCCTCAGATGACACTAGCCTAAGTCTCACCAGCGAAGAAAGTCTCCATGACACATGTCTACATGAAAAACAAAACCTAACGGGCTTGGGTGATCGAGACTTGGCACTAAAGGATGAAGCCTTTCCTTCATCGAACCACTTAAAGGAATCGTGTAAGGAATCTGAGCTTCACTTAGAAAGCAGGGATCTTTTAGAGCCCAATAATCTCTTGTTGCCTGTAGCAGACAGCAATTCAACAAGCATAAGCACATATGTTCCTGGCATCGATGACACAGATGCCCAGTTCCCACCTAAAAGAGCCCTGCAAAATTCACAAGATAAGGAACAACCGTCTTTCAGCATAAGCACCTCAGGACTGCACAAGGAAAATCCAGGGCAAAAACATGACCTAGCGGAGGAGGGTCAAATTATTCAACTTACTGGTGAAATTCAGAGCTCTCATCTGCTACAACAGCTTGATCTGCAGCCCCAACTCCAGAAAGATGCATGGGATCCCTTTGGACTGGGGTTCAATGCTGGAGAACCCATTGCTGACCCTTTACTTTCTTGGGGAGCCAACTTGCAACCACCGTCCACATCGACTCCTGAGCCCTTTAACAACCACATCTTGGAGATGCAGGATGCCGAGACGACAGCAGCAGCAGCACTCCTGCAAGCTTCAGTGATGGTAGAAAAAAGCAAACCAGCATCAGATCTCCCTTAGGACTGCGTGACATCTTGCCCTATGGTGAATGATAGTTTCAAAAACAGAGACTTTCATATGGAAGTGGACCGCTGGTTGGAAACACTGGCATGTCCAACGCAGTTTAGCTGACATAGGAAACATTCTGCTTCTTGAAATGAGATCACAAAATCTACCCACAAGATGCCATAAGCATCAAATTTGAATTCAGTTGTGCACATGATGATTTTTGGAGGCATGGGGAGATTTCACAGTAGGACCTAAGGGTAGGTTTTTATATCCCAAACTCCTCTTCCACCACCCACTGATCACAGCTGGTACCCTTGTCAGCAGTCTCCAAAGAGACTGGCCACAGAAACCAGCCAAATTTTCTCTCACTGCACATGTGTGTGCACATGCATGTGTGTGTGTGTAAAAGCAGGGGAGAGGGTCTCCGCACTCGAGCATACTGCCATGCTTCCCCAGAGGAAGTCGGCTAGGTTGCTGTCTCTGCAGTTGAGGGGAAAGGTTTTCCATGCCCACGGAGAGCCATCCAGCAAGCTTTCATGATCAACTAGTTCAGGCAGACACTAGAAATCAGAAGCAGAAAGGTATATTGTCGCTACAAAACCTTATCAAATAGTGGCTAAGGAAATGCACAGCTGAAGGATGAAGCAGGATTTCAGATAGCTTTGCACGGCCTGTAATAATCCAACTCAGCTGATATCCTGCACTCCTAGCTTGCAAAGCACTTTACCGAGCAGGCCAGTACCATCAACCCCATACTACAAATGGGGAAACTCGGCTGGAAAGAGGTGAAGGGACTCACTGGTGGTCACTCAGCAGGCCAGTGTCAGAGCTGGGGACAGAGCCCAGGCTTCCCTGAGCCTACACCGATTCCCTCTGCACAATATTGCCCCACCTGCCACCTCTTGCTGCTGCCACAATAGAAATGCTGAAGTAATTACCTTAAAAAGTTATATTGGCAATGGAAATTTTGTGAAGCATAATGCCCGGCACCAAAGCGCACACACTCCTGTCCCCAAACACCACTCGGTGCAGATCCTCACACCTTTCTAATCAACCTCCTGAAAAAATGGCATGAAGATGTTCAAGCAAGAACAAACCAGACAACACTGAGATGATATTGGTGCTATCAGACCTGCTTCCTTTCCTTCCTCGTGACAAGGTATTCAGCAGCATTCACAGATGCGGTGTGATCAGACAGGCCATGCCGCAAGGTCTTTTGCTGTGGCCTCAAACTTGCAACCTCTGAGCTGTCAACCATGCCCCTTAGCACCCACACCGCCCCAGCCCCCATCAGACCCGCTGAAGATATAAAGCTGTTTAATGAGCATCTCTGCCGTGAACCAGCATGTCAGAGCCCTGTGCAGAGGGCATCTTAAACCAATATAAGTCAGAGGAAAAGGCAGAAGTACTGTAAAGTGATGCGACTCCACTAGGCTTAGGATTCTCCTCTGTCCTCTGGAAGTACTTTTACAGACACCATCACCAGGGTCCCAGGTCATCATCCACACAAGGCCTATGTGAGCAAATGGGCATGCACTGGTGTGACTGGCCTCAATTTTGTATGCCAAAGTACCTTTGCACCACCCTGAATCTGGACTTCCTCAGGGGCTGGAGCAGATCCCAGTGTGGTATAACCAGCCCCCGCAAGCCTGGTACAGCAGCTTCCCCAAATCTCAACAGTGACAGTGCTGCAATATGCAGCCTCATCCCCAGTGAGCCCCCTGCAACAGCAGCCCCATCTCCAGCTCAACCAACCCACCCACCCACCGAGGACACTTGGAAGACACCCTGACATCACTGAGCCTGGGAAATTCTCCCCCTGCCAAATCAGGGGATTTTAGTGCATGTCTACACCCTTACTCAGGGCCACCATCAAGCCCCTCCATGCCAACTCTCTATACCAGAAATCCCTAACCTCAACCCCGCAGGAGCAATCCAGCCAGACCCAGCTGTCTTTACATGGCAATGTGAGGATACTTACAGAGCCCGTGCCCTGCTCTATGCTCAGTTCACCAGCTGGAGAGACCAGAACGGGGGTGTGGATCAGACGCCAGCACGGGTCTGATCTTAAAGGCCTACTTCTAACCCACACCCGATATTATACAACCAGACCCAAACCTGCAACTTGCATTAGCAACAACTTCTTACCTGCTTAGGCAAACCCGTGACCTGACCCAAATTCTGTTCAAATGCTGACAGACCCAGGGGAAAAAAAAACACATGCTTTCCTGGAAGATGCAGCACGTTAGTTCGTCCCAGTTCTGCAGCATCTATACAGATTGGGCACTTCAGTGGGGCTTTTTGGCGCTGCGGAGGTGGCACACCCTGATCTATCTTTTGTTTGATCTCCTTGGCAGACATTCATCCTTCTTTGTTTGGTCTCATTCGTGCTGCTTCTTCCACTAAAGCGCTTTTTTTCCCCATAGATTTCATAGACATTAGGGCTGGAAGGGACCTCTGGAGATCATCGAGTCCAGCCCCCTGCCCCAAGGACTGGAAGTCAGCTGGGGCCAAAGGATCCCAGCAAGATAAGCGTCCAAACGCTTCTTAAAGGAGTCTGGAGTAGGTGCTTGCACCATCTGTCACCTTTTCACACCTGTCAGCAGCCAGTGGTGAGATCTCCATTCTGACCTGACTGTAACCCGAAAATCCAATTTCAGACCCACACCCAAACTGCAAAATGTGAAGTAGTTCACATTCCCACCCAAACCCTACTCACTTTGCAGGTCACCCGCGGGTACCTGACCCAATGCAGGACTCGAGTGTGGATCTCCTCCTCCGTGACTTGCTCAAGGTAACGCGGGAAGTCAGCACTGGAGTCAGCAGACAGCTCGGACCATAAAATGAGCTTTCCTCTCAAAGAAACAGCTGCTCTGACAAACGTGGCACTAGCCCTTCAGTTTGCTTCTTTCTCCTTTCCACTTATGTTTTATTGTTACACCAGAGTGACTTACGATTCGCACAACTCTACCCGGCCTTGATCTGCACCGAAAATCAACACGCATCACTAGTTTAACAGTGACAGTGACTTTTCATCCTCAACTTCAAGATTCATGGCAAAGATCAACTAATCCAGCTTTGCAAATGCACCAGGAACAGTTACTATCCTAAGTAACCGCACACTTAGCACAAGAATGATGATAGCAATGAAGCTAAGGAAATAAATAACATACCCCTGGCAAGCAAAGATTTGCAACCTAGAGAGAGCATGGAGTCTCTGTCGCTGGAAGTTTATGCACATCTGGGATGGTTTAGACAGGTATGATCCTGCCCTGAGCAAGGGGGTGAGCTAGATGATCTCCTGAGGTCCTTTTCATCTCTCTTTTTCTCTGGGTCTGTAATCTTTGTAATAGGCAAAGCCCAACATTAGACTCCCTGGGACGAGCACAGACATTTGTGCCACTGCTATTTGTCCCTGGGGAATGCCCATGCCACAAGCACTCTGGTGTCCATGCTTGCTGGCCCTAGCAGCCTTACCTTGGGTCCCGGGGGTCTCTGGGAGATGCAGCCATAGAGAGTGGATCTGGCTGGCCAGGCTCCAGTTTTCGGCAGAGCACACTGCTGCCCCATGCACCACCCCGGTTTTTTTTGTTGGGGTTTTTTTTTACTCCAGGAGATCCCAGCGTCAAAAAACACCCATGCTGCAAAATAGCGGTGCAGGGGACGCTTGCCCGTGCGGTGTGTGGCACTGCAGACGGGTCTGCGGTGCTGCATACCACACATCTGCACTCGTCTGGATGCACCCCCTTAATCCACAGGGCATAGAAACTTTGAAAGTACCCATTAAAGGATGAAAGTGAGAAGGCAGTCACAAGAGCTACCGTAAATAGAAAGCAAGCACCTGAGATGGTGAGTAATAGCTTTACTCAGCAGTAAATGAGAGTCAAAAACAGGGGTGTGTCTAAATAAAGCATCCTCCTCATAGTTCACATCTATTACAATCAAAGCCGTGTCTGTTCTCTACCGTGAGAAATACTACACTGTTCCTGGGCAGGGAAAGGAGAGGAAGATGGGGAAAGTAACAGCTTTTGGCCAACAGCCCAATCCAATAGGGACCCCTAGAAAAGATGAAGGCACTTTTCATGGGGCACCAGCCTATCCCTTGGGAGATATTGGTTCAGTTCCCTCCTCCACAACAGACATACTTGGTCCTGTGACAAGCTCCCATTCGTTACAATGGGGCAAAGAGCTCCCCTCTTGAGATGGGAAGCTCTAAGAAAATAAATTCATCCAAGGCTGCTAGCTGCTTGGATATTCGGCAATAATAGATGTGCGCCCTTGTCTGTATAGGTGATGTTGTATTATGCTCATTCAACAAGCATGTGTCCCACCTTTTTCACCCCTTTACTAATCTTAACAAAGGTCCAGATGTACAGAGGGGATTAGGAGCCAAGCATAGGCACTGAGTGTTTGCAGGCTTTGCACACATGCCTCTGACAGGAGACAACAGGTGAAGAGATTAATAGTTAAAATATCCTTCCTGCCACAGTGAGATCAGCCAAGAGAGTCTTGTCGAACTGTGCAGGAAATATTGATAGCAGAGGGAAAATCTGCCTTTCTAATTTAAAAGACCAAAGCCATAAAAAAATACTTGGAAAAGCTACCCAGGGGCCAGTTCAGCCCTGTAGAAATCTATTTACTGATCCTCATTGAATGATTTCACCAGCTCAGGTTACCCTAGCCTAATAGTTTCTTATCCTTCTGAAGTCTTTTACTGTGCATGTGTCTGTCTTATATTTATTAAGGGGTTGGCACTTAAGAGACCTAAATCCAATTGCAGTTGATCTTTCTCTCCAAAACTGTAGCGTTCAGGTCTGGAATATGTGCATCAATACTTTTACCAAGGGAGACACCCTGAGCACCCCCAGATCTCGGGCTCATTTCTAGTCACTTTATAACAGACAGTATATAATGCTTCTTCAAGGTAATACCAGGCACTGTTTGCTGCTCCCCGTACCAAACAGAACGGTAAATCTGTGAACTCAACAGGGAGAAAGGACAACGCAACATGTGCCAGTTGCCTCGTCTGCTTTGGAAAATTCCCAGTGAACATTACTCCGTAGGAAAAAAAAAAAAAGACTTTGCTGTACACCTCAGAGTGGCCACAAACCTTATTTCCTTCCTCTGGACAAAGTAATCACAAACTGGAAGGGATCCAAAAGGTACGAATGACCAACTAGAGGCCTAGAGGGACCTCAAGAGATGCTTCTCATTCAGCCCCCTGCTCAAGGGACATCCTGGCTGGGAGCCCCTGGACAAGTGCCCAGGATCAACGCAGTGATTTCCTCCAGCTCTGAAAGAGGGAATCGCGTGCTGCTGAACACAGTCCGCTGTCTTCCCAGTCATCCCAGAGGCACTCCAGGGCACGGAGGAGAGGGGAGCACTCGAGACCGCAGCAATGAGGGTTCAGTGGTTAAGCCCTAGCTGGGTAGTTTCTCCCACGGTCCTTCTGAGTCTCGGGTCAGGTCATATGACAGCCCCTTCCCATGAAGCTGTAAGGTGGGGCAATGCAGGCGAGGAATAGGGACCCCCTGAAGATGAATGGTGGGAGAGGTAAGAACAGGCATCTCTAGCACTTGGGAGCATCCTTCAAGGTTCAAGTGACCCTTCAGGAGTCTAGCCTGGCTGTGGAAAGGCTTTGATGGTGAACCTCATGGTTGCCCCAATTTGCCAGTTTTTCCCAAACTTCATAAGCCTCCTTCCTCAGAGGAAGGGGCTATGAGGACCACCAAGTTCTCAGCTCATAACCCAGCCCAGGAGTGAAACGAGCCCTGCATAGCCCAGTGGCCTGGCTAAATCAGTGCTCCCTGCAGCATTCCTCGGCGCTGGCCAGGGCCTTTGTAGCCTGCACCTTGGCATGGGTCCCTCAGGGAGTGTGCCCTTCTGGACTGCCAGGGTTTATCATCTCCCAGCTGGCCCTGCCGGAAGAGTTACACTTTAACTGCTCAAGCTAACTGAATGGGCTCGTGTTCACATGCACATGTGTGTTAGCCCTCACATGAATACCTAGGCACCAGCTGAGCTTAAGGCTCATGCAGCAACTTGGCATCACATGTAATAATTCAGCAAGGCTCCGCGGCAGAAGGCCCTTCCTCCCAGAGTACTCGCCGTGCTTCCTCCTGGATGTGAACTGCCCATCCCTGACACTCCTCAGGCACGGCACAACCAAAACCCCCAGCAGCCCTTCTGGCTAAACCTCAGCGTCTCCACTCTGTCCTCATCCTTGACTTTCTTCTTCAGCCCTGCTAAGCTGTCCTGCACAGTATGCACCCCATGTACATGCACACACACGCTCACACACACTTGACTTCCCCCTCAGATGAGAGTCAGGCCTGACTGCACCCTGTGCTTCTGGAGAGACAGATCCCAGTACAGTCCCCCACTGCCCCAGCAAATGTCTTCAGGGCCCCTGGGTGCAGCCTAGTAAGAAATGCCTTCGACTCCTTTGTACCCTTGGTTACACATCCAGCCCTTTTGCACCCTTGAGCACCTAGGGTGTAAAACCACAAGACAACATCATTCTCCTGGTCTTCCTGGTCCAGTCAAATCCCCAGCAAGCTGTAAAGCTCATGAGATCCCCAGCCAACCATCCAGATCAAACCAATAGAGACACGTGAGAGTGAGCGACTGCAGCAACCTCTGGTCCCCCTGAGGTAGTAGGATGCTGAATTAAGACTCCAATGATAGGGTCTGCCACAGCCTTTCTGTGTGACTTTGGGCAAGTCCCTTCACCTCTCTCTCTCTGCATCCTTTTTTCCTATGTCTGTCTGCTCTATACTACCTGTTTGTACAGCACCTAGCACTGGGAGGGCCTGATAACCTATAACTACTGCAGAAAAGCTCAGTAGGCTCCAAATCCTACTGTGGTGCTCATGCTCCCAATACACAACTGCCAACCCCAGCCCCCGCTCCCAACTTCACAAACCCCATTAAACACGGCCAGCACGTGCAAATCTCCCACCGAGCATGCATGTGCCAGACGCGTGCACATATTTCTGCCACCATTTGCAATCCTCAGCTTGACAGTGGTAAATACTATTGATATGATGTAGAGACTGTCAGTAAGATGGAAGAACAATTTTTTATTCCAACATACTCGGATAATTTTTATTTATAAAACAAGCTTAATCCAAGAAGCTGGTAGTATCTCCTGACAGATGGCAACACGGCATCACCCTCCACCAATGGACCCGGTGCACTAGAGTTCACTGGCCACAAGGGATGCCTTGCAGGCCCCAGTCCCAGGAAGCAGGTGAGGTTGAACCTGCACCCCCATGTTGATGTTCTTCCATCGCATCTGATTCAGTTTAGCCACAAAATAAGCAGAAAACTCGTCACAAGGGAAAACTGCCAACAGGGGCTTCGCAGGGGGTCCTGATGAAGCAAAATTGAGTCTTCTTTGAGTTTAGGCAATGGCAGCGCGACTGGCACCGAGCTGCAGGTGGTCAAGCAAAGAGCAGGAGGGTTGGCTCTGCTCCAAGCTTCGCCCAGAGCAAGTGACTGGTCTGACCAGGCGGTCTGTGAAGGTGCAGCGTAGGGAGGGGAGTGGCTTTTCTTCACTGTGAAGATAAATCACAAGCCCATCCGTAACAGTGAGGGGCATTGTACGAACAAGCAAACAGAACCCAATATCCAACCAGATCATCACTTGAGTGGGATACGGTCTCTCCAGAGACCTCAAGTTCCAAACAGCTCATTGATTTCCTTGGAGATTCAAATTAAACTGGTCCTGATGATTGCAGAGCATCTTGAGCAGGAAAAAAATTGCTGTGTGAAGGGAAACGCTTCTTTCCAGCACCGTCCTGCACACAAGGTGTCTCCAAAAGTTTTCAGTTTAACAGCCAGCTCCAGTGACATCTAAAGGAAATTCTGCTTTCCACTAAGGCCATCATTTGCTGCTCCTGCAACAAACCGCTGGCTTGATTCTTCTTACTTGGGTAGCTTGGAGCTAGACAAAAGGGGCAGGGTTTTGAAGCTCCGGTGGAGAAGAGAAGGAATGAGAGATGAAAAGACTTACTAGATGATCTAGCAATATGCATCCCCCTGTTTGTTTCCTTCTACTCCATCCAGTTCAGATATACATATTGCAAGCGATGCATTGACTTTGTAAGGCTATTCCACAATTGAATAGGTGTCATGCCTGGGAAGGGTTTCCAGAGATGGCGTAGGTGCTGACAGATGAGAGGGAAGGGAAGGGAAGACTCAAGTATTCTGCTCCAACATCTGCTTTTATTCCTGTAGGTGATTAACTTCTATTTTCTTCAGATCAGACTATTCTGTCCAATACTCACTGAACAAAAGGGACAACATGTAGTGTGTATTAGGGAACACTAGAGGGGGCTTGGAGGAGACAAATGGGGAAAAAAAAGAGGTCAAGACCTAGTGAAGGAAAAAGGAAAATCCCCTGACTCCTTGTGGATCTCACACCCCCGACAGCACTGGTTGGTCTTTGATTCCTCTGGATCTGACAATGGCTTGCGGCTTCCTCTAGAAGCGCGTGGTCTTTGTGCCTTCCACCTCTTGGCTGTCCTCTTTTTGTTTCAAGCGCCCATTGTCGCTGGACCTAATAAAAAGAAATAGGGTTAGATACAGCAGAAGGCCCCTTGTCTTTGGGCATACTTGAAGCACAAGCTGCCTCTCCCAGGGCTACCAAGGGCTTGTACACTTTCTCTCAGTCGCTGTGCTGCTCTCCCATCCCTTTGCTACTGTGGAAGGAGACTAAGTGTGGATCCAGCGGGGTGCACCAGTGCACTTGCACCCACCTTTGATTCTTGCTCTACCCAAAGTTTAACATGAACTTCCTGGCAGCGTTTCTCATCGGGCAGCACTGAGGGAGTCACTTGACTTCATGGCTTATGAGAATCACCTGATTCCTTCTCAACTCTTCATTCCCCAGGTCTTAATGACCCTGTCCCCGTTGTAACGGTCTTGATGTTGCACCAACCAAGCTACTCTTTGTTCTGTAATTCTGCTGTCTGTTAGCTGCTCCTGGTAATGAACCTCCTATTTCCCAGCCCTGCAGTTTGTTTGCAATTCATTTCAATGAATTTATATTTGCTTTTGCTTCAATCTTAAACTGAATATTACAGCTGTAGGCCCCTCGCATATTAGTAAAGCTTCTAGCTCATTTTTAACTGGAGAAAAACCCGTGTTTTTTTATACAGGACGATGAATGTCACCCTCTGCGTGCCCCTTTTCAAAATTTTAGGCCCACCCATAGAGAAGCCTCATTTTTCACCCCCAAATGTTATCACAGCCCCTTCTGCTTTCTTCCCCCTACCTGGCAAGGACTCCCTCCCTCAGCCCTACAGCCAGATAGCTCAACTCTTCCAGCATTGATTCCTTTTGAGCTGCCCACTAGGATGCGACAGCCCCTGGCATCGTCCTGAACCTCCGTGCACTTTGTGCATCATATACTACATGTCGGGCCTTGGCGTGCCTTGAATTACACTGAAGAGGGAAGCAAGGAAGCTGTCACCATTTATCAAAAGGGCAAAGCAGGAGGGGGACAGAAGCGACTGCGGATACACGGCAAGGACCCACCACTGGTTCTCCACGGGCTCCTCGGTGCCGTCCCGAAGTTCTTTCCCACGTGTCTCTGGAAGCAGGCAGCAGAGGATTCCCCCAATCACCGGCGTGCTTCCAAATATTGCCATGGGGATCACGGAGTTGTAGGTGCTCAAGAGACCAATCAGAGGGGAGATGATGCCACCAAGTCTGGCTGACATTGAACACAGCCCTACCCCGGTCTGCCTAGTAAGGGAACAAGGCATGAAGGGAATGAGGAGGATGCACTAGATGGGTTGCTGATGGCTTTGTCTCCAGTGGTCCCAAGCCCTGCTCTGCTCTACAGCTTGTGGGATATTAGTGGCCAAAGGCAGGTGTTTCCCCAAATCATTACCTGGAAGGAACAGAATTAGGGGGCAGAGGGGGAGGACAATTTACTAATGACAAAATCCTTTGGAGCTAAATAGCCAGCTGAGTGCCCGGGCTAGCCAGAAGTGCTGCCTCTCGGACAGGAGAGGACAGAAGTGATCACTCAATCTGAGACACCGCTTCAATCCAAAACCATTAATCCACCACATTAACACAGATGATATCTCTCCATCTGGGTACGTCCGAAGCCCCCATCTCCAAAGCACTCGACTATGGGGTTCAAATTCATCCACCAGATTCTAGGTTGGCAATGGATCAGTGCTCACATCGCACCAACCGCCAATACCTGGTCCACACCAGGGAAACTAATGAGCCTCCAGGCCAACCAAATTCTGCGGGTTTTTCAAGGAACCCGGTGTCATTGCTGCTGACCACCCAGATGTCATACAATCCTATGGCTTTCGTGCCATTTGGCCTCTACTCCAAAACTTACAACTTAATGTTGAGGGTTTGTTGGCTGCCAAGCGAAGCCTAATCATTGTTCTTGCTACTTTAGGAACTGCACGTGGATGCTGAGCTCGGGAATTACAGACACACTGACCGACCAGATCCTAGAATAAAAGTGGAAGCTGACATCTGTGCATCCTAGCAGTGGGGAAAAGATGAGACTACTGCACAGGGTCTGTGGCTGCTCAGAAGTTTTCTGATAGAGCTAATCGTAAGAGATGGGGCAATGTTTTTTTCCAGAAGGGCTTCATCCAAACCCTCTGCAATCATGTCAAAATGACCTTATTTTTTGTACTTTTTGAGCCAACATGAAGTTTCCTAAAAATTGCCCTTAACAGACAAATGAAAAACACGCACCCACTGATGACAAAGACACAAGTCTCATCCTTGCATTCAGCCCAGTCACCTAAGTGGAGCACATAAAAAGTGGAAACAGGGAGAGATCACCAAAGACGAATATACCTCCTCTGCTCGCGCTTGTAGGGAGGCAGTTAGACAGGCCAAAGCTACCATGGAGCTGAGGATGGCATCCCAAGTAAAGGACAACAAGAAATTGTTTTTTAGATATATTGGGAGTAAAAGGAAGGCCCAGGGAGGAATAGGACCCCTGCTAAATGGGCAGAAACAATTGGTGA